GTAGGGAAAACGATTTTGCAGCTTATTACTTTTGCGCAGTTGACTTGAATTACTTTGGAATAAATGAAAAAAAGTAGGTAAACCTTTCTACTACCAGCATTTTTTAATGAAAACACTGACAATTACAGAATGAAGCTGTGTAACAGTTGTGATCTGTGGCTTTTAAAAAACTAAGAGATGGAGGACTAGGCAAGCCTTCTTTCATGGAATGGCACTTTCAGACTTTATATGTAGAGAAGTATCAGAAATGAGAGAAAATGGTCAACTTGGGTCAAAAAGGAAGAACAGCTATGTGGGGATTATTTTTTTCTAGAGGCTTTATGGTTTACAGGAAGGCTCCTCTTTCCTTTCAGCCATTAAGACAAGCATGGACCCAGAATATCAAAATATTCTGTCCCTTCCTACCAGAAAAACACTAAAAGAAGAGATGTAAGGTTGCTATGCTCTTCCCGTCTGAAGACTGTAAGAAATGAATTGAGGTGCACTGAAAGAAGTTGGTTCTGTGTGCAATCCTAGCAGGAAAACCGTTGGAGTACTGAGCCTGGAAAAAAAGTTGCCTGACCTTTCAGGACACACAACTAGAAAAAGGGTAACTGAACGCTGTAATTGGGACGGGAGGTCTACCTAAATTATCTATGAGAAAGAAGGCCTGAGGGAGTTGAAAAAAAAACTTGGATTGGGTGCAACAGTGAATAAACCCGATCTGATTTGGACATTAGTGTAAACATTAAAACTCAATTCCTGAGGTCAAGAACTGACATTTCTGAAGTACTTTTATTTAGAAGAAATGTAATTTGGCTGAGACTTTTATCTACACAAAAGAAAAGGTAACAGAAGCAACAACGCCCTAAGATACCATCACACGCAACCCATCACCTTTAACAGAATATTCGTGGCTGTATCCACACACTACTTAAAACCTCCTACTGTTAATCCATTTAGTAACATTTTAGACTCTTTGAGATCTACATACAGCATCCAGTACCTAACTTAAAAACAGAACCCTAAAAATTAATGATTTACCAATCAGAAGTTCCCCATGGGCACATGCCACCTAGAGACCTCATCAAGTTCACAAAGGACTCTGGAGCTCTTGGCACATCTTCCCCCTTTATTCCACATTGATTAGACAATCCATTTTTCCAACAGACGAAACTTCTCTCTTAAATACAATCAATTTCAAAACACGATAAATTTTGCTTCTTGGACAGAACCAAGTGATAATGATTATTTCTTTGGGAGACCAATCCTGTGACCCTTAAAATGTTTCACAATTTCTCTGTAAAAATTCAATATCTCTACTTGAATGCAAATTCAAGTCTGAGAACCCTCTTTCTTCTCTTTTTTTTTTTTTTTTGGCATTTTAAATAAATATAATCAAACTACATGTATATTGTCATTGGAGTTGCAGTAACTCGCTCCAGTGAGCAATGTGATTCTTTTATTGGCATTCGTTGTCTGCAGTGTCCCAAAGGGTCATGAGGATGAAGCCTGTTAAAAGGGGAGAGAGTGTGTTTGAAGATTCTTTCTTTTTATCCGGTACACGGTATTTATTTTTTCCTCCTGCATACAGGAGAACGGAAAATAGGAGGTCAATTTTCTAAATGACACTATTTTTGTGCCTGTCATTTTATGAGTTGCATTTCCCTGTACTTAGACTATTTATATTTAATCAGGTTTCTACCTGTTTTGCAAAGATCCAGTTTTGTAACCTGTAAAACCAAACTGTGCAGAATTCACATATGCAGGGTTATAATTTACAGAGCATCTGAGTCTCAGGGTAGCAATCTGAACAGAAATAAACTGTATCTGAATAAAACTTTTTGTCAGATCTGATTAGATTGTCATAATGATGAAGAGCTTGTACTGGGAGAAGGAGAAGTGTCAGCTCTGCCATTTCCTTGTTCTTCACTTGTGCTGACATTATCAGATTATCTGCGGTTTCTTTGCAGGAATCTTTTTAAGTCACTTGTTGATTTTTTGAGGGGTAGTTTAGTAAAAACTAGATAATATAATCCATAAATCCACTTAACCAGGCACACGTAAACTGCAATACATCACAATAAGCTAAAAGTGAACAAATGAGTGTTGATGCCACTGTCAATCCCTCCACGTTGTGGAGCACTCGCTTCCTCAGGCACCTCGCAAACCCTATGTGACCGTCTTACATATGGACCAAGTGAAGGTGCCAGCATCAATCCATATATTAAATATTAGTAAAGTTTTCTTATTTTTTCAGATAAAAAATAAACAGAAGTTCTGATACTTTCTCCACGCACCCCAATGGACTGTCTTGCATACATGCTGTAGTGAGCATGCCCACTTCGAACACCACTGCTCTAGAGTACCAGGGTTTTTTTAACCTATGAGCAAAGCCACATGTGCAAGAACATCTCAATATGCTCTATTTGTTCTTAAATCATGAGCATACATAGCCTGCTGAAGTAACGCATTTACAATGCTTTGGAGAATCTAAGGCAAAGAAACCAATCTACACACAAACTTCTAATCCTGGTCTAGCAGAAACTATTACTGTTCTAAGAGATTAGTTAGCATAATGCCAGGCTGGAATTCAATAAAATACAGAGGCAAAGATTAAACACCACAGTCAATTAATTACTAAATGACTTCAGTATTGTCCAGTTTACCAAGTAAGGCTGCCCAGTGAAGGGGAGTTCGAAACAAGTTGTCATAAGATGTCACATTGCAGCCTTCGTAAGAGGTCAGGACATCAACAACTGCTACATTCCCATCAGCAACAGCAAAATGAAGGGGAGTTCGTCCTTCATAGTCTTGCCAGTTAAGTAGAGACTCTGTAGGTGCAGCTTCCTTAAAAAAAAAAGATATACAACATAAAAAAAGTATTTAAGTTGAAGAGAAAAACTATGTACTCTTTACAGACCTTTTTTTTTTTTAAGTTTTATAATAAAGAGACAAACTGTCCTTGTTCAATAGAATATAGCTCTACAACCAAATACTTTTGTTACAGTCTAGGCTATTTTCAAGTATTTCTTAAGGAATTTTTTTTTTATACTTAACTATTGTACAAGACCTGATTTTCAGTACATATCCTGCAGTTTTACCAGCCTGTTGTGCAGGTAGCTCCTTACACAAATCTTTAAAAGACTAACTCAGGCTCTTGTGAAAATAACTAGATCTTCTCACTTGATTTTCTAAGTTGAACATGACACATATATCTTCGTATTTTTCTCCTAGGACACTCCCTTTTTTGCACAAGTTAATCTTATGGCTTTCATTATAATACTTTTCGAGCATTTTAAAACCACATGGCTATCAAAGACTATTTCTAAATAAGACGTCAAGTCTCTAGCTGACAGGACAGAAGGAAGTTAGAGGGTACTTCTAATGAATGCATCTACTTGTAATGGGTTTCATTTGGAAAAATAAATCTTTTAAGTATCGTGATTAGTCATTTGATCACATAACATAGGCATTAATAGATATAACTTGACTTTTCATCACATTTTCTTAAATAACATGCTAAATTACTTTCACATAATGCCCCTAGCTATATAGTTTCATGTTATAATAATTTCCTCTCTCATCAACTTTTTTCTAGACAGATATCTCTTTATGACTTTCTTTCTCAGGCAAAAGAACACGACAGGTACAAATGAACATCATCTTAGCGTTGCAGAGATCTTCAAATGGCAAATAGCATAAAGGCCCATGAAATACAAACTTCAAAATGTCACTTTCCTGAAAAAAGAGGTATCTCTAAAGAAAACAGTAAACAATAAAACAATAGAAACTCAGGATGCAGGACACCAAACTTCTAGAGCAGAGGCAGAATGTCAAAAAAAGAGCTTAAATAAACTATAAGGAGTAAATCTGCTGTTCTATCTCCAGCAATTCAGAACAATTCACTGAAGTCATGGGAATCCTGTGCAAGAGAAAAAAGGAATGTAGTCCTGAGATTTTTAACTTCCAACACTAGAGTGGTTTTTAATCCATGATAACTGAGAAGAACAATCCTCCTGAAAATACAGAGCCACGCTATATCTTACAATATAATTGTGAAAGAGGAGGGAGAGATTGTGATCAGTGCAGCTTGTTAATAGTTAAAGCAAGTTCCTGATCCCTTTCTCACCAAACTAACTGCAGTTTTTCCTATTGACTTCACTAGATACACAAATAGACCATAAAATCACTTCTATTTGCATTATTTGAAATGCAGTATCTATTATATAGAAAATGAACACCTAACATTGAGAACAATCAATCTAGAAGCAGAAAGTCAGGAAATTCCAGAGTTATGGTTTCTATCCAAATATTAATTCACCAAAGTTGTACATTCTATACGTTCTATTTAATACATAAAAAATAAATACATTTAGAGTTATATTTAACCGTATTTCCTACATGCAATCTGGCTAAATTGATACTTTAGCAGTAACTTCAACTTTGCAATACCCTGATTCTTTGTTTCTTACTGTCTTTATTCCTAACAGTATCAACTTAAACCTCCTAATATTTGATTAATATAAGTTTTCTAAAGTTAAACATTTACATACTTTGCATATTGTATGCAAATGCTAATTAAGTTTATTGTCTTACTGCATCGGTTTTAGATATTGGTAGTGTTAGCCATATTTTGCTAGAGAAAAAAATTCACATGCTTGAAATATACTGTAGTTCATTACTATATCTAGCCACTAGTACAGTAACAGATAATCTATTAAAAACATAAAAAAGCTGATAAATGTGAATCTCAACTAAAAACGCAATCAAAATTAACATTGTTACACGCACAAACCACAATAGTCAAAGCATGCATAACACTTCTTTTACTAAGCATTCGAAAGTGTTTATCTGAGCCCTTACAGTGAAAAGTGAAGCTTTATGTTCTTCCTTAGCTTTAATAATTCTGAAGAGCAAGCTTACTGATAATATGCTTACTTTCTGTCTATTCAAAGGGCTCAGCAGGGGGAGTATAGAGCCCACTGCAAAGATTCAGAAGTGATCTTTATGAGAATCACTTTTAAAAATGACTAAAAATGAATGATGATATGCATAGAAGTTATTACTGAAATTCTAACTCCACCCGAGGAAAACCTGTTTGAACAAAATGGGCAAACAGGAAAACAAATGCTTCTTCACTTTACCTATAATTTATTGATGTAATCTGGACAGCTAATTTTCAAGCCTTCTAAAAGCACAAGAACATATTAAATAAATGACTCTTAAAACTCCTGGCTCAAAGTCACTGATGTTGCCCAGAACATACCCCCATAATCAAAAGTGTTACTTTTGTAAAATGGTAAAGAATCTTTTAATAACAAAGCCACTATATATATTCTAGTCTAAAAGTACTCATGTGTTTTGAAATTTCTGGCCACTTGAACTAATATTTTCTAGGCCTCTTTCTGCCTGCATTCAAGAGTATAATTTCTTTGGATTTTAAGTGCTTTTGGTGTAAAACTAGTCATAATTAAACTGTCATACTATATTAATATTTTAAGTACAAACACAGAAGCAGCAGAAGCTATGTATTTTTCTACAGCAATTAGAACAATGGAATTGTAGGCAATAATGGAAAGTGTTGTATAAATAAATGTCATGTGTCTTACCATGAAGAATAAATAAAGAGAAGAGACACAAAATAGACAGAGAGTACTAAGCAGTTGCTTCCATCCTATTAATGGAACCTTATTCTGTTCTTTTCTCCTTAAATCTTCCCAACGTTTTTCATGTAACCAAGCATTGCTGAATCTGGAAAGGTGGAAAAGGAAGTTGACCATGAGAGGATCTCCAGATTAGAGTTTCTCTCTACTTCACATGTTTATGTTCTAAATATGCGTTCCATTTTCGCTGTATTTAATGGATTTCAGTATTAGATATAACCAATTTGTGCATAACTGTCATCCCTGCAAACCCAACCTACTTCTTCAGCATTCATTGAGTTCTTTTCATTACTGTTTATTTTGACAATCCCAGTGGGCTAAGTACTATACAAACATCAAACAGAAAGATGACCCTTAATTTGATGAATTTATAATCAGGAGAGAAGAAAAGGGCATACCTGGATGGCAGAGCACAGAAAAACAAGACAGTATTTTTCAGTATCACAGACCATGGTCTCAATAAAACCAAAAAAGCTTCACTTTTGCCAAGTTTTTGTAAAGTAGCACTGGAGAATTCTGAGTCGGACACTAGAGAAAAATAATTTTCTGGGGAATTCTTCCGCAGTGTTAAAGATAACATGAGAGAAACCACAGCAGTGTTGTTTTTCATAACTTAGTCAGCAGGCAACAAAGGCTGCCAATGCAGATTGACCAGTGGTAGATAGCAATATCTGACTGCTATCTGAGCAACGGCACACAGCTTACAGCACTCTATCATGAAAGCAAAGACAAATGGTTTGCGTTGGATGTGATTAAAAAAATGGAGAGGCAACAGGAACACAGAGTCGCTGGCCTTTTGCACTGCTATCAGTACAAGGCAATACTCTTGTGAACTTAGAAATGCAATTATGTAAGTTAAGACACAAGATGACAGAAATTCTAACTGTGTGGGTACATACATTAGAAATACAATGCAGAAATAAATGTGAAAAACTATAAAGTTAACCTGGATGTGAAGAGCTAGAGAGGAATGAGAATCAAAGGTGATGCTTGGGCAATAGATCTGGAACTGGGTAATACAGCAAAAAGTAGCTAAGAAAGGAAGGGAGGATTGTGAGCTCCGCTTGGCAGATATCTATCCAGTCAAGTAAGAAAACCACTTCAGTTTGAAGAGAAGACAAGATCTTACCAAAGAATTAAATTCAGAGGCACCACCACCACCAAAAAAACGTATTTATACTCAACAATAGTTTCAATCAATAGATTGATTACCTAGTAACAATGTTTCTGTATCATCTTTTACAGCATATTCTGTAAGTTAAATCACTTTTTCATATAAACTTGTTATTATCTTACTCCATCAATAAGCATATACAGATATAATTAATTAGAATATAAACAATTTAGTTGATGCATGAAAAAGCCTCGATAGAATCAAGAATACACTCTTTTAACTGTCAGAGTAAAAAAGAAAAGAACAAAATAACCTGGACATGATCATAGAATCATAGAATGGTTTGGTTGGAAGGGACATTAAAGATCATCTAGTTCCAATGCCCCGGCCATGGGCACGGACCCCTTCCACTAGACCAGGTTGCTCAAAGCCCCATCCAGTCTGGCCTTGAACACTTCCAGGGATGGGGCATCCACAGCTTCTCTGGGCAACCTCTCCCACTGCCTCACCACCCTCAGAACGAAGAATTTCTTCCTAAAATCTAATCTAAATCTTCCCTCTTCCAGTTTAAAGTCATTGCCCCTTGTCCTATCACTCCATGCCCTTGTAAAAAGTCCCTCCCAGCTTTCCTGTAGGGCCCTTTAGGTACGGGAAGGCTGCTCTAAGATCTCCCCGGAACCTTCTCTTCTGCAGGCTGAACAACCCCAACTCTCTCAGCCTGTCCTCACAGCAGAGGTGCTCCAGCCCTCAGATCATCTTTGTGGCCTCCTCTGGACTCACTCCAACAGGTCCATGTCCTCCTTCTGCTGAGGACGCCAGAGCTGAAGGCAGTACTGCAGGGGGGTCTCACCAGAGCTGAGTAGAGGGGGAGAATTCCCTCCCTTGACCTGCTGGTCATGCTGCTTTGGACGCAGCCCAGGATATGGTTGGCTTTCTGGGCTGCCAGTGCACATTGCCAGGTCATGTTGAGTCTCTCATCAACCAGCACCCCTAAGTCCCTCTCCTCAGGGCTGC